GCCAAAGCTGAAAAGGACCACTGCGTAATCAACCAGAAGGTGTGCATTGTTCCCAGAACAGCGCCTCTTGTATCCACACAGCATTTCTCAAATACCCCCCACACATAAATATGCGCATCTTCAAAGCCAAGGCCAGAAGCACAGGCCAAAATTGAAAACCAACTGAAGGAGAGGACTGCCTTGCACCAGACTTTACCCACCCCTGAGACTGGAACTTCGTCACCGTGCAAACCCAGGGGTAGGGTTGCGTCCATCCAATTTTCGTTTTTCTTGCAAGGATGATTGGCCATCAATGGGTGACCCTTGAAGCTGTTCCAAAAAAGCTTGACCTTGGACACATCTGGTAATATACATCTAGTCCAGGCTTCGGCCTTTGCAAAGGATACTGCTGGATGGCTGGTCAGGACTTGCACCTTTCATGGGGATGTGAACCTCCAATGGTTTTGGCAAAGAAGCTTCCTTAGCCATCATAGCTGTCAGGCTAGGGCCAAAGTTTTTGGCATGCTGTATCCATCAGTCATCGAGGGCGTGACTTCAATGACATACTCAGGGGCCTCTGCATTGGCTTGTTGAGGATTTCTCCCATCCCAGATATATTGCTGGTCTTCTTCTTTGCTTGCTTTGCCTTTGGCTTGGGCTTGGTCACAGCTTTAGCCTTGGCAACTGCCTTGCTTTTCTTCTGCTTGCTCTTTGGACCTGTCACACCTTTCTTCTGACCTTTCTTGCCTTTGAGCTGTGGAACCTCATGGCCCAAGGCAGCTTGCAACACAGAGTGGTCACTCAAGTCAGCTCCCTTGCACTTTGCTGGCGCAGCAGCTGCGCCAGACATGGCGGCACTCGGCAATGTCGGCAATGCATCCTCCTTCATAATTTTCTGGAAGATTGAAGGCATCTCAGTCAGACCAGATAAGGATGATGAAGAAAAGCACAAAGACCGCTTGAGGGTAGGCTTGGGGGACATCAGAGGTTCAGAAGGCTTGGACTTTGAAGACATCTCACGCTCAGCAGGCACAGCAACAAGAGCCAAGCGCTGAGCACTTGCGTCCTCTTCAGTCTCTTGGCTGTCCATGGTGTCCACACCATAGCACTCCTTGGGAAGCACCACTTTCTCAAGGGCCATCTGCATTTTGATCTTCTCGTCCTTGCTCAAGTTTCGAAAGATCTTGTCTCTCAAGGAATCCTTCACCTTGACCTCCCTGAACATGTTGAGAAGAATTCTCATGGTGAGGTCTAGCTTGTCAAGAGCGTCATCTGGTTTTCCCAGATTGGGAGAAAGGTACAGAGCCTTGTTGAAATGCATGCTGGCGAGCGCCTTCTTCACTTTGGTGGAAGCCAACTTGGTATTGGGGCAAATTGCCAACATTTCAAAAACCAACCCCCAGCACTTGGCCATCCACTCTGAATTTGGTGGAGTTTGCCAGGCGCATGCTGACATGGCAGCTGGTGGGCAAATCAGGCGCCAAAGATCACTGCATTTGTGAAACCATGTGTAGCTTTCCAGCGTGCCCTGGATTTGCTCCACGCTAATGTAAGGATCTGCAATCAAGCGAAACTTACCACCCTGCCTTTTGCCCACCTCAGCATTCATTGACTCCTTTCTCTCATGGAAAGCTGCTGCCAAGGTAGCCACGCTAATGACAAAAGGAGTTACCAACAGCAAATGTTCCAACTGGTTGACTTGAGGCAAAATCTAGTAAACACATACCATGGATGGCCAAAGTGTTCACAAGTTAAGCGTTGCAACACAATTCAACAGCGACAAATCAAGCTTCTCAAGTTAATACACCTATGCATCCTGACTACATCCTCACAGGCCATGCACAGAATTTCATGATCCCACACCTTTTCTCAAGACAACACTTCTCAAGTAAATCATCCCAGGCTTCTCTCCAGGCAGATGAGCTGTACCTGATCCCCAATAAATATTACGCAACACTTCTCAAGTAAATGGGTTGTGACAAGCTCCCTCTCTCAAGTAAACCAACTTCTCAAATGTATACTCCAACACTTCTCAAGTAATTTGGAGGTGAAGCAGTTCACAAAACCTGTCTCAAGTAAAGAGGTATGCCATCAAGAAACCATAGGTCCTCTGTTTCTTTTCCCCACCTCACATCAGCCAAGCCCCATTGCAAAAGATACAAAAATATTAATGAGTCTCATCTGCTCCAGCTAAGCATTCAAACAAAAGAGCTGCAACACCTGGCCACCAATGCAAAGAAAAAACAAAATTTTGAACAACCAAAAATTTACTTTGTAAACTAAATGTTTTACTTTGATTACTAAATTGGTTTACTTTGTCAACTAAATTTACTTTACTTTGCAAACTAAAATTTACTTTACTATTTACTGTAAAATTTGCTTAAATTTTGATTAGTAAATAGTATTAAATAGTAAAATTTAGGTAAATTCCTCGATTAGTAAAGTTTATAAAAGAGCAGACTCAGGGTACAGGGCAGGGTGCAACATGCTCCCTCCTGATCCCTCCTGCCGAAGACTTGGCGGTTTTGGAGCAGACTTCCACTAAAAACCAAACACTCAGAGTCTCTTTTGCACTTTGACGCCTGGGTATTGGCCATGCCTCTCCCAGACAACGCACCCAAACGCCCAAAGGCACCAATCGGGAGCCTGCTGAAAAATATTGAACCAATTGGAATAAACCAGAGTTTTAAACTGTGGCGCTGTGGCAGTTGAAGCATGCCATTCAGGTGCACAAAACGAGAAGTGTACCTGTTCCACTCAGGTGAAACTCGCCATTCGATGAACATCGTTTGGCTCAAGTTGCGCGGAGAAAAGGATCCGTGCGTCACGAATCGACACACCCAACCTTTCCTAGGTTATGCGCCCAAGAAAACTTGGATCTTCGAAGTCCACGTCACCGTTTTGCGGTGAGTAGTTGGCCCCCATGGAACAACACCGCCGGAAGCTGCCGCCGAAGAAGCTGCTGCCAAGGACGCCTCGGCCAACCAGCCCTTGGAGATTGGTGCCGCTGACCGGAGACTTGACGCTTTGATCGAGGAAGAGGTTCGCTCGAGAGCTAGATCGGTTCCGGCTTCGTCATCAATGGCATGGACCTCCGGTGACTTTTCATCCACCACATCCTGCACAAGAACAAGTACACCAGCTGGTGATGGACCCTAGGGGGCAGTCGATGGGTTTGGGGCATCTCCAAGAAGCGGTGCGCCAATCGCTTGAAGTTCTGCAGAACACTATATATATACTTGATCCACTCCGTCGCCAAGCCGACCAGGGAGCTCCTCATGTACACGATCATGGAGGTCTTCCAGTCTTCCAGGGCATGCGCTGGCGGTTGGAACCCCGGCCAGAGAGGTGGGATCTGTTTGGGATGGATCCATGGTTTCTCCAATGATGGGATCGGCGGGCCGCGAAGCTCTCCATCCAAGAACGCTGGACCCCTATGCGGCGGCAACTCCGGTGGGGCCTCAGCACAGTGAATCCGTTTTGGAGCACTTCACTGGAACAAGCTGCAAAAGGTGAAGGGCATGTTCGTATGGCTGAAAGCAGCGGAAACAAGGCTGCGCTTACCAGTCCGGGAGCTGGTGACGTCGAGAAGCTCAGAGCTCAGATCCTGCGTGAGGCTTAGGACAAGTTCGCTCGTGAAGTCAAAAAAGGCTGACGGATGGTGGAGGAGCCGCTGATGCTTCTTCCTATGCTTCAGCGGCGACACAGCCTCCGGTGGTTCCGGAAAGAGTGAGGAGCTTGGACCTTCCGAGCTTGCCTGGAGCTGCTCTTCAGTATGGAGATTGGTTATGGGCTGGCTCCAGCGCTTCTATGGAAGTGTTTTGAGCATCCTGGTGCATTCTATTTTGCCACAAGAACTTCTACAAAATTTGGAAACCTTGGGTCTGTGGATCAAAACGCACCAAAGGAACCACAGGGCAAAGCACCCTTACCGCATGAAGTTGGACAAGATCACCGTGACCCAACCAAAGAAAGGCTACCCCAAGCTGAGAGGCCGTGCAAGTGACATAGCAGGATTGGCGCACTGTTTATTGGATTTGTGGATGAACTTCATGGACCACACCAACCAACGACACCAGCAGATCAAATTGTTCCTGAAGCTCAATCTGGAGCTCAAAAACGCTTTGGAAACTTTGGGACCTTCTTTTGGCCACATGGCCATACCTGCAGAACAATTTGAAAAGGTGTTCAATGCTGGCCTCACAATGGCACAGCTACATTCACAGCTCAGCTCCTTTTTTGAAGAGGACGGTAAGCAGCTGTTCAACATGACTACCAAGACACATTTTGCTTTACACTCTTTGCAATTTTGCCGCTACATACACCCCTTCTTGGTCTGGTGTTATACAGGTGAATCTACAATGCGCCGAGTCCAAATTTTATGGAAATCATGTCTGCATGGGCCCAAGCATTGGCAAGCTGCCAAAAAGGCTGCTTGGAAAGAGCGACACCTCTTGTGGCTGCAAGGCAAACTTTGAAAAACAGAGTGTTCTTTTTACTGTTCTTGTGAAATTGCATTTGTGCCTTTACTTGCGCTGAAGAAAACCAGATGCAAGATACATTTCTCTTCTGATGAAAATGCACTTGTCTCTTGAGAATTTCGACTTATGCCTTTACTTGTGCTCTGGAAATTCATGCGCGCAGTACCTGATACCTTTACTTGTGCTATGGAGTTTGATTGTAACAAGTTCAAAAGGTGGTATGGGTATGTTTTTTCATGTGATTCATTGATGAAAAACATGTAAGTGGCCTCGCTTTGAAAATAGTTAGGAAAAAGACAACACAAAACTACATGTAGTTTGGCAAAAAAGTGCATGTAGTTTTTTGTTTTCTCAAAATATAGTTTACTTGATATTTTACTTGAAAAGCAAAGTAAATTTATCACTTACATTAAATCCATCCAAAAACTAAATTTGATAAAAGAGCAGACTCAGGGTAGAGACTTTCCATGAGTCGAAGTCAACGGCGTCCATCGCACACATACCACAACTTTCAGATTCCCGACCCTTTCCGATGCGCAGGTACCAGGCCCTTGAGAGGGATATTATCATTTCTGTGGCGCACGAGGCCGGGAAGTGAGGCTGAAACGGTTGAGGCCATCTTGAGCTGTATGTGGAGCCGCGTGAGTCATAGAGGCCAATACAGGAATCATTCACAAACTAGTCTGTATACTGTCCTGAAGTATTTAACAGGATTCATGATGATTTGTGGCCGGTCAGTGAAGGAAGCTCGATGACGGCCAGGTGCACCCCCATAACCTGGAGACGTTGAGAGACGCGGTGAAGACGAAGGATCTTGACGGTGGCCTGTCTGATGCTGATCGTGGGAGTTGATCTAAAACTCCGCGTAAGGAGTTTTATCACGAAAGGTAGCTTCGGCTACCTGAGTTGTCTTTGCTTTAGCAACTATGTATCGGGGGTGGTGAATGGTTCCCGTGCTTGATTTCGATTGTTTTAGAAAGGGTTTAAAGGTAAGGGGGGGCCCCCCCCATTCGACTCCACCCTGCGCCGCGGAGAGCGTGGTAGTGATCTGGCGTATCCATTGTGGTCTATTGCAATCTGTGGTTTGTTGCTGGCTGCTGCTGCTTGTTGCTGCTGGCTGTACTGCTGGCTGCTTGCTGTAGTGCTTGCTCCTTCCTGTACTGCTTGCTGCTGTGCTGCTTGTTGCTTGTTGCTTGCTCCTGTTGCTTGTTGCTGTTTGCAGCTGGTTGCTGCTATTGCTGCTATTGCTGCTGCTCGTTGCCGCTGGTTGCTGCAGCTGCTGCTGCTGCCGCCGCTGTTGTTGTTGCTACTGTTGCTGCTGCTGCTGCTGCTGGCACTGGTGCTGGTTGCTGATGCTGCTGCTGGTGTTGCTGCTGCTGCTGCTGATCCTGCTGATCCTGCTGGTTGCTGCTGGTGTTTGGCTGTTGCTGTTGCTACTTCTTGCTGGTTGCTGCTGTTGCTTGAATCCTGAAGGCTGCTGCTGCTTTGCTGGCTGCTGTTGCTGGGGTGGTTGTGCATTGCCTGTGTTGGGGCTTTCGGGGCGGGCACTGTTGGCGCTTTCTTTCTCCGCCCTCGACCATGACAAGCCCCCACCCTCTTGTATATAGATATACTTAATCACGAAAGCCAGCCAGCCGATAGCCTAGGCGATGAGATCTCCACAGCAATCTTTGCTCGGTTTTAGGCAATCACATGATCTTCGCAGTAGACTTCCATCGATCTGCTCTTGGCAGCGTGCCAAGTTTATGAACAACAAACAGCAGGCAAGCGCCCCTCAATCCTTAGGGGTGCCCTTTTTCAGTTTGAAAACGTCCTTGAACCGGGGGAAAACGGCCCTGTCTGAACTATGTATGCTGCTTTCTATTTGTACCGCCAGTCGGCGTGGCTGCAATGTCGACTTCACCTCATAACAAAGGTGCTCTTTGCCTGATGTTAGACAATCACTTGATCTTGGCAGTCACATCGGTCCACTCTTGGCAGTGCGGCGAGTTTATGAGTCCATCCACAGGACAAGAATAGCAAACAGCAAGCGCCCCTCAGCTTGAAAACGCCATTGAACCAAAGGGGAAAGGGCACCCCCCCAACATGTATTCTATGTCTCCAGGTTTCTACAACGGCTTTGATAGTGCTATCGCTGTTTCGAATGCATCTTCGGCCTAGGCGGAAATGAGTGGACTCATCAAAGAAATGTAATACATAGTAATAGTATTTGTTTCCTTTTTGTCCTTTCCATTCAAAACCATCTAAAGCAATTCGCTCATTGAATTCTTTGGCTTCTTTCAGTTTTCCTGGAGTCGTCAGTTTTGGCGGCACCCGTTCAGCACATGACTGACAGTGATAATCTTTTGCACCCTCTACCATTCTTTGAGTGAAACCCAATCGCTGCAAATGCTCCCCTAATTTATCCGACGCAGGATGGCCTAGGTTGTTATGCATTTTTTGATTCATGGCCTGCTGCTTGCTATTCAATTCCAGGAACTTGGGATCTGAATTGACTGGTTTGAGGAGACCATGTGGGAATAACACTGAGTGGAGGCTTAGTCTCTGCTGGACTAGACACGATTGGTTCACTGGCTTCTGGATTCATGGCTGTGCGAATTGATGAAGAACTATTGTCTTTTGCTCGCTTCTGGCTCGGCAATGACTTGGCTTGACTGGATTGACCAATCGACTCTGACTTTGGCTGGTCTTCTTCCAATTCTCTGGAGTTGTTTCCAAAAAATCCTATCATAATGTGACTTGGCATAGCTTTTCGTCTCTGTTGAGTCTGGGTGAGTTTGGTCCATTCTTCAACACCAAGATCCATAATTCGCAGTGTTTTCCGGCGTGTATGGGCGTATGGTCTGGCAATGAGTGCATGCCTGGTTGCCTATCAAATATTTCTCAACTCCTTTTATAGCCTTTATCTCTTTGACATGTTCTATTTGGCAGTGTTCTGGAAGGAAGTTTCCCGGCCACGTTTCTAAGTCGATGATCTGCGCTCCAGATTTGGGAAGAAAGCTTTGCAGTTTTTCCACGACAACCTTTTCCGGACAGGGTGGAGAATTGTTCATATATTCTTCCAATCCTCGTTTGCAAGTGGGTGAGTCTTCCAATGGGCTCACCTTTCGCGCCCTCTTGGTTCCTGGTTCATCGGTTGGTTCACTTTCAGCTTCCCTAACCGGACATAACATGTCTATGATCATGGATGACTCCACACATGGACGTTCAGGTTCATTTTGTTCAGCTAGAATGCTTTGCGCAACCTTCCTGGCAAACAATCGAGGATAGAATGCGGCGTACCTGGACACTGCAATTGTTTTCCCTCGGAATTGGCGTGAACCTTCTATCTGTGAGTGTCTAAGGTTTCCTTCACAGTTTCGTTGATCAATTCTTTTGATTATTTCTCTGGAGGTTGTCTGTAGCTGAGTGTTTTTCCTCAATGGTTCACTACTCTGTGGATGTCGAAGTCCGAACTGGCAGTGATCGAATTGCACGGTTTTGGTGGTTTGCATGATCTCTTGGACTTCCTTCTGTGACCACATGTTGGATGTACTGGATGTACCAGGATTTTCCATGGTGAAATGTCGACCACCTTCCAACTGTATTTTGCAAACGAACGCGCGCAGCTTCAAATGTTCTCTGGATTGCTCTTGTTGTATGTTTTCGAACGCATGAAGACTGCGCCTAGAGTTGAATCGGTTCCATGAACATCATGCATGAGGCACACTCCGGAGCAACCCAGACATGTTTGGGACGCAGGCGAATGATCATTCGTACTTGGCGAAATCGGGAATTGCCCAACGGGCAAGCTAGGGGATCTGAGAGCGTTCAAGTGGGGGACTGGTCTTGGTAGGTCTTCCCCTTAAGGGTTTCTGTTTGTGAAAACTCATGTACCTGACCAGGTTAGTAACGGCGACAGGATTGTTGCCTTCACCAGGGGATTGTGGTTGGGTTTTGGCTGGCTGCGCGCCTGTTCTCTCGCCTTGTGAAATTCAGCGTGGCCCTCGCACGAAGGGGTTGTCTTTGACTATTTGTGTGAGCGGGTCCAAGAGCCATGCGCTCGCACAGTACCCACAGCCATCCTAGACACCTTGGGCTTTATGGAACAGGTGGGTGGCGTGCCAGTTGGAGAGCGGTTGGCCAATGTTCCGCTGCTGCAAAATTTCGTGCGTCAAGCCGCATGTGACTTAGAAGTGGGCGCGCCCCCTAAGAAACAAGCGCCTCTGATACCTGCGCTAATCAGTGGTGCTCTGGAGCTGCTGGTGGTTGACCGTTCAGCTTCAACCTTCGCTCGCGCTTTTGCGTGGCGCAAGCTGGTGAAGTTCTGGGCAGCGCGTCGTACAAGTGACCTTACTAGCTTGTCCCCAACATCCCTGAAGCTTGGCACTCAAGGGCTTTGCGGCTGGCTGGAGAGAACGAAAACATCCGGGCCTGGCAAAATGGGTCCGTCGCCTGCCGATTTATGTTTCAGGTGCTGCGAATTTATTCACTGGCGATTGGTTGCAGCAGGGATGGAGCTTGTGGCAACGAGCGGATATGTCACTTGACCGAGATTATTTTTTGCCACTGCCTACCGCTGATTGGAGCAGTGTGCGTCGCATGATGACGGACTATGCGTTGAATAAAGACTTAGGCGGTTGCGACGTCCAGTCCAAGTGTCTGGGCGGTGGACTTTGTCTGATCAGCCTTTATTATGGGTCGAGCGCATGGGAGCCTTTTGGTCGGAGCATTCGGAATGCAATTGGCTAGTTAGCATGCTCGCGGCCATTGGAGTGGAGCGCGCAGAGCGCGATTTTGTGGGTCGCTGGGGTGTTTCTTCTGGTGACGAATATCTGCGCACCGCGTAGCGAGTGATCTGTGGGTTGCAAGAGCACTTTTGCGAAGCCGACAAATGGGATTTGAGGCATGCCGGCATTGATGATTTCGAGCAGCATCAAGGTGGCTGCCACGGCTGTTGCAAGCCACTGCAAAGCCTTGCGGTTGCCGTCAAACTGATGCAATCGCGCGCGGCCGGCGCCAAATGAGACAATGGCGGCTGCGCTAGAAGATTCAGGCGTATCAGCAGATGACGCAGCAGAAATTATCGAGAGTCCATATTTTGTGACCATAGTGGGCAAGCGGCGTTTTCGCCGTCTGCACCGCACTGGTCGTTGCGGAGTCTCTTCGATCGAGGTGCAGTCCATGGAGCCTGTCTGGGTATTGCGCGGGCTGGCGTATGACTTGGCTTGCCGTCATTGCTGGCGTTGCGGCGACGCCACACTTTCGGAAGCCGAGGAAGCCGATGACTCGGGCAGTGCTGAGGAGCCCTGATAAGCTACTTTATAGGTCCCAAGCGACCTGGCTAGTAGACAGACGTGGTATAGGGTTTGGGTGTGTGCTTCCATTTGTGCGATGTGGATCGCATGTTACCGTTTGTGCGAGTTGGTCGCTTGAGCTCTCTCCGATCAAACGGTTGGGGAAGCTGACGAGGTGCTGAGGGGTTCTCAGCATGGTTGTGTAACTTGGCTCGCGTGTTCCCGTTTGTGCGAGTTGGTCGCATGTCTATGTGCTGATGAGCAGTCAGCATGATTCAGTCGAATGAATTGTTCGATGTGTTCAGCGTGCGAGGTGTTCGCATGGTGCTGAATTATCAGGGCCTGGTGGCTTTGGTGGGTTCCCGTATCTGGGTTTGCGCGGTTTGTCTCAGGTACCGGGGTATCCGGTGAGAAGTGTGCAGTTTCCTGCTGTACCTGGAGATGCCAACGTGTGGCTGGGATGTTTATTATACAGCCTGGGTGTATTTTTGAGCAAAAAATGTATTATACCACCAAAAGGTGTATGTTATGAAAAAGCTGCCAG